CATCACAGCTCACAGCAACCTCCAACTCCTGGGCTCAAGCGAGTCTCCTGCCTCTGCCTCCCAAGTAGCTGGGACCACAGGTGCTTGCCACAACGCCTGGCTATTTTTTTTGGTTGCAGCCATCATTGTTGTTTGGCAGGCCCCAGCTGGATTCAAACCCGCCACCTTAGGTGTATGTGGTTGGTGCCTTAGCCACTTGAGCCACAGGTGCCAAGCCACCTCTTCCTTTTAAGCCTATGGAGTCTCTTGTGTTGTTAATCTTGGCTAAATGTTCCATGGTAGAAACTTTTGGATCATCCTGGGTTCCTCTCCCTCCTCATTTTTCCAAACATAGTCAGGCAGAAAATTCTGTCCAACCTATTTCAATGTCTCTTAAGTCTTGCCTCTGTTCCATATTTCTAATACTGCTGTCTTGGTTCAGCCTCTTAGCATCTTTCCAGAAACCACTCACTGTTTCTAATTCTTGCAATTCAGAAGTAAATTACAGAATCATCCATCTCAAAAAAATCCCAATCCATTGGGAGAGACAAAAACATAAGCAGACATTTCAGTACAGTGTGGCAAGTGATGCCAGCAATACCCAGTGGAGGGTGTTTAACCCAGTCTGGTGATGTCAGGACCCAGAGAAGGGCTCATAAGGTCGATTCTGAAGGATGAATGGAAGCAGGTCAGAAGACTTGAATGGAAAAAGGCTCCCTGGCAAAGAAGACAATGAAGGCATGGGGATGTGAGTGAACAATGCATACTTGGTGAGCTCAGAGGGGTTGGGATAGCTAAAGCTTAGTGTGTTGTGAGAAAGAAGACTGGAAAGTTAAGTGGAGGCCACACATGAAAGAAATTCATTTGCATTTGCCCCAGGGCACTTATTTATACCATTGATTTTTTTTCATTCACCTTTAAATATATCAGTATATATCTCTAAAAGGACAAGGGCTCTTTCTTTCTCTCTCTTTTTTTAACATAGCCAGAATACCATTATGATGTCTATAAAAATTAACAATTACTCAATATCGTCAAATACCTAGGCAGCATTCAAATTTTAAACTGTCTGAAAAAGATAATGAATGTTCTATAAGTTTATTTCATTGAATTAGGATCTAAATATGATTCACCCATTGAGACTGGCTCATATATTTTTAAAAATCCTTTATGTGTGGTTCTCTGTGTTCTAAGTACTTTACAGGCATCATCTCATTTCACCCCCACAGATCTCTCTATTTTTCAGATTACTCTATTTGGCAGTTTAGAAAATTCGGATGCATAAATTTTCACAGTCACATTCCTGGTGAAAGGCAGTTGGATTCCAGGACCTGTCTGATCTTACCCATTGGGCTATCTAACCTCTCACGGCCCTAGAAGAAGGTTCACACACTGGGAAAAGCTGAGTTTTAGGGGAAGACAGCTGGAGTAGGATGAGCAGAAGGAGGCACATCTGGAGGCAAATGTGACCCATTGCCAGGCTTCAGGCCATCAACACCTCATCTGATTCTATTCTTATTACTAACATTTTTAGAATCTCAAAGTTGAACATAATCTTAGAAATTACGTGGTCTAACCCCATCATTTAATAGCTGAAAAAAAAATTAAAGGGTTGAGCATGGTGGCTCATGCCTACAATCCTAGTACTCTGGGAGGCTTAGGTGGGAGGATCACTAGAGCTCAGGAGTTCAAGACCTGCCTAAGCAAAGCAAGATCCCGTCTCTAAAAAATAGCAAAATTATCTGGGCTTTGTGGTGACACTTGTAGTCCCAGCTACTCGGGAGGCTGAAGCAGGAAGATGGCTTGAGCCCAGGAGTTTGGCTGAGGCTATTGAGGTTATGGAACTCTAGCTTGGGCAACAGACTAGAACTCTATTGCAAAAAAAAAAAAAAAAAAAAACTTATAAGGAAGAGAATCAGGAGGATACTAGAGGCTGGTGTACAAGTATCCCAGCCCTGAGGACAATATTACAAGTCTCCTTTAGTCTATTCTGTCTCTGAGTTTCACCCTTAAAATTTATTTGGTGAAACAATAGGTTGTTCTGGCGCTTATCCCAATCTGGATTTTGCTCATTGCATTTCTATGGGGGTAGTTTAACATGTTCCTTTTTTTTTGTCAAGACGAAGTCTCCCTTTGTTGCCCTTGGTAGAGTGCTGTGGCATCACACAGCTCACAGCAACCTCCAACTACATTTAGAATTAGTGACAAATCTGTATCATGGCCTCTGGGCATGACAAGTACATTTTTTTTTAGAAACAGAGTCTCACTTTATCACCCTCCGTAGAGTGTCATGGTGTCACAGCTCACAGCAACCTCCAACTCCTGGACTTAGGCGATTCTCTTGCCTCAACCTCCCGAATAGCTGGGACTACAGGCACCTGCCACAACGCCAGGCTATTTTTAGAGACGGGATCTCGCTCTTGTTCAGGCTGGTCTCAAACCGGTGAAATCAGGCGATCCACCTGCCTTGGCCTCCCAGAGTGCTAGGATTATAGGCATGAGCCACTGTGCCCAGCCACCAAAGCTTCTTTCTTAATGAGATTAATTTACCTGAGCTCCAAATAAGTTTTTATAATTATTTTATAATTTTTATAAAATAAAAATTTTATCTCAAAATAAATGAATAAAAATAGTTCTACAATGGGAGAAAAGAAATAACACCTGCGAGATTTAGAACACATGGCTCTTGTTAGTTTTATTACAAGAGAATGAAAATGCTCTCCACAAATACTTCCTGTAAGTCACAGCTATTTATATACGGTTCACTTGTTACCTTTTCTGCACAGCCCTGCGCTGCTGGTCTCTAAGAGCCCACAAAGAGATTTGTGCTTCAGTCTCCCACCACATCACAGCCATGCAAAATCAGTAGATTCTTTGTATTACTCGAACTTTTATTACTCTCTCTAAATCTATGTGGTTAAGAATGGAGTAACTGTACTTTAGGTGCCTTTAATCAATCTTTATCAGAATGTATCCACTGGAGACACCAGTAAAAAAAAGGTTTCTAAAATTCTACTTTTCAAATCAGTAAAATAAGTTTCATAGGATTATGTAGTATTAAAGTGTTGCAACTACAAGAAAAATGATCATTAATTCATAATGCCCTTTCTATATTAAATCTCTATTAGTTCTCTGAAAGTCAATTTTTTCAGTATCTGAAAGACAGTATCTATCCTTCATATCCTTGTATTTCCTACAGAAATTTGCAAAATAGTTATAATCCTATTAGATGCTCAATAACCATTTGTTGAATTCATACAAACAACAACTGAATTTATGATCCTATCTATTCATGGGAGAACTTAGCCTTAATAGCAATTGATTAATTCTCTCAATAGTTATTTTCATTTATTGTGTGTCTGGCACATCCAGGGCACTGGTTGATAACTGAAAGCTATGCCCAGGTTTGTTTAACTTTTAACAAGCATTTAGATTTTATAGATTTGAATATTCTGTCTGATCCTCAAGTGTAAAGCCCAGAGAGGTGGAGATAAACTTCTGGAAAGAAAGCCACTACTGGATTTTTACCTGAGGGAGAAGAGAATAAATATACTCTTTGTAGGAAAGTGGAGGACCACAAACACTCTCTAAGGACAGCGTCCCCGCCTTATTCATCTTTGTATTTCTAGCTCCTGGCAGAGTACTTGGCACATTATAGGTGCTCAGTGAAAAATGTGGGTGTAGCCGGTAATCATAGTAGACAATATTTACCAAGTGCTTCTGCGGAGCTGGACTCTGTTCCAAGCACTGTATTTGCATTGTCACATGGACTGTAACTTGGGCAGGAGTCTGGATGCCTAGATTGCCTAGGTTCAAATCTGGCCTCTCTCATTTATTAGCTGTGCAATGTTAGGAGAGAAGTCACTTCCCTGTGCCTTAGTTTCCTCAAATGGAAACAAGGGATGATATTCAGACATACTTTACAAGATGGTTGTGAGGAATAAATGAAGTAGGATTTGTTAACACCTTAGAACAGTTCTTGGCACACAGTCAGTGCTATTTAAGTAGCAGCTCTTATTAGCTCATTTAATCCTCAACCTTGTGAGGCAGGGACTAATTATCCCCATCTGGAGTGAAAGATCCTGAGCAGTTTGCACAGGTGGCTTCCCCAAGTGTACCCAGGTGGTTGAGCACCCAAGTCTGTGCCCTTTGTCTTCTTGATGGAGCCCTGCGCCCTCAGAGTTCCGTGAACAGTCTCCCAATGGCACAGTTAAAGTCTAAGGTTTGTGTTTTTCATAGACTCACACAGAATTAGCAGCTTGGTAAAATATCATCTTGGGAAAGAGAAGAGAATGAGAAGGAAGATCTTTTTACCCCTTTGTTTGTAAAGACTTCATATGTACCTGGGAGAATGGAGCTCATTATTTCCCATACCTTAGTCAATTCTTTTTCATGAGTTGCTTGATCTTGGACCATTGAAAATAGCTCTTTCCTTTTCTTTTCCGATTCTTTAATGGAAGGTGAATAAGATGATTCAACTCTACACATTAAAAATAAAATGAGTACAAATTAAGCTTAACTTGATAATTTGTTATGATTATACTGTTAATTTAGACCATTGTAAGCTGCAGAGAGAGATCATTGCTGGAAACATTTCTAGTTACAGAGATTGCAAGTTCTAATAGATTCAGATCCCATAAGTGTTCACATCTTTAAGTAAGTGCAAATGGTTTTAATGAAAAAAAAAGAAGCAATTAATATGGAATTTCAACTATACTTTAAACATTGGCAGAATACTGGGATTGTACATGTAGATAAGATTTTTGGGTAAAAAGAAAAGACTTCTTCCTATATTAAAATAGCTTGGGAACTCTTTTTTAAAAAGGAAACAAATCCAACGTGCTAATGCACTGCAGAAAGGGAGCATGTCACGAGAAGTCCAAGGGGACGGCTACTCCTTAAAAGAGATAAAAAATGGTTAAATCTGACAGTCCAACCGGAGAGAGCTCCAATACATCTATTTTTTTGGCTGCTCAATTTATAAAATGGAATTGCAACCACATATTAATACTAAAGGGGAAAAGCAGAAACTGGGATAAAAAATACGAGACCCACGGGAAGTTTGGAGGAGTTTAAGCAGATAATGTTCACTTTCAGATGAGGCAAATTGGCAAAATGAAAATCATCAAAACACAGAAATTAAGAGAACCAGATGGGGAAAACAGCATGCTTTCTATTGAAAATCAGGCTTCACTATTCTGGTGGAGTGTGGCGTTTTGAAGAATATACCCACTTATAAGTGAATACAATTTTAGATCTCAAAAAAACTTTTGAACAGATTCCACCTCTGAAAAACTTAAACTACACAAATAAAACAACCAACCAAAATCTGAGCAATGATGGAGAAATAACTAACACAATGACTGAAGATAAAAGATCTTTTAAAACGTATAAAGTGATGGTGAGATCTCTGAGGTTCATGCGTGTAGGTTAGATTGCTTTTTTCTGATTATCAAATATATTTTAACTGTAGACAACAAAGTTTATCAGAATATAATATATTGCTATTATGTTATCAACCAAGAAAGACCATGTTCAGCATTTTTGTGTGTAGTAATTGTCTTCTTTTCTTTATGCATATGTATATAAATAAATATACGTTTTCCATGCAACTAGAATATACTATACACATTATTTGTTTCAGTTTCCTTTTGTTTCCCACTTAAAAATATTCTCCACTTTACCCCAAATTCTCTTAAAACATTTTAAATTTTTCTTATTTCCTGTGATTTGGAAGAAGTGAAAAATAAAATCCCCTATTTTTCAATTTGTCTTTATTTTTGTTCTTTCTTTCTTTCTTTTTTATGTCATCCTTGGTACAGTGCCGTGGCATTATAGCTCATAGCAATCTCAAACACTTGGGCTTAAGCAATCTTTTTGCCTCAGCCTCTCGAGTAGCTGGGACTATAGGTGCCTACCACAATGCCTGGCTTTTTTTTTTTTTTTTTTAGAGACAGGGTCTCACTCTTGCTCGGGCTGGTCTCGAACACCTGAGCTCAAGCAATCCACCTGCCTTGGCCTCCCAGAGACCTAGGATTACAGGTGTGAGCCAACGTGCTCAGCCTATTTTTCAATTTTTCCTAAGCAATTTCTGGGAGTAGAAATGCTAAAAACCCCATGATGAGTTTGCAAAGTTCAGTGAGTGAACGGAACAAATGTCAAAAATCCAATATGGACAAATGCAAAGAAGAAAACAATAACCATGTTAATATAAAATGGAGATATAAATATATAAAGAAACTATCACTGGGTGGCGCCTGTGGCTCAAAGGAGTAGGGCGCCAGCCCCATATACCAGAGGTAGTGGGTTCAAACCCATCCCTGGCCAAAAACTGCAAAGAGAAACTATCACTTGTCATGTAGAAAAAGAGTTTGGGGTTTGTTTGTTTATTTTTAGAGCTGAGGTCTTGCTATGTTGCCCAGGCTGGCCTCAAATTTCTGGGCTTATGCGCACCTTTCACCTCAGCCACCTGAGTAGCTGGGACTATAGATGCATGCCACTGTGCCTGGCTTTGAAATTATGTTTAGTAATTCTCAGAACACATCAGCTCAAGGTGTTTCTGTAACTAAAAAAGAAAAAAAGAAAAAGCTAACAAAATTTTGGCATGACTGAGAAAGTTTCTGAAAGTGACTAAAACATTACTATACTATTAGTATAAAACTACTGTGTGTGTACTGGGTACTATGAGCTGCTTCACCTTAATGCAACTGTAAAGAAGAGACAGTTCAAATAAAAGAAACCAAAGCAATAATGCAGAGAAAACCGTACTCAGGTGAGAACAAACTAAAAAGATCTGCAACTTTCAGTGGGAAAGATGAAGGTTGAGTCTACAGCAGAAGCTGTGAAAGGTTAAATTCACATCTTTTCATCAAATCTCAGAACACTAGAACTGAGGGACACCTTCCAAATAAGAAAGATGAATGTACTTTGGGGAGCAAAATAAATACCAGTTAAATAGAGGATGGCAAGCAGGCAGAATAAAAGAGTTTGTATTGGCCAAATATGTGCGTAAGTGCAAGATTTCAGATCAAGTAATGTTTTGAAGGAAAGTTGGCAATGTTTAGAATTTAGCCTTGGCCTTGTAAGAGCACCATAAAAAGTATCTTCCATGCTCCTCACAAAACCTGAGCTACACAAGGGGTGGATGGTGTGTTTTTCTACTACGTCTTTTGGGTACACATTATTTTCTGTGCATGAAGACATTTCTTACTAACTCACCACACTGAAACTGCACCTTACATATAATAAGTATCCAAGAAGTTCATTAATGATCAGAGATGATGATGTACATATACAAAGCCCCCGATAATGCTGACTGGCTAAGAGGCATTCTGCCATCCTTTGTAAGATACACAATAGGTCATTTTTAGGGATCTTGATTTGTCATTTGTTGTTAAGTGCAGACCTCAAAAAATGCTAGCAGGTCTCACAGCTTTAAAGAAATAATTATTGCCATTAAAACAAGGTAATCATCTTTCAATTAAATATCTTTTGCCACTTGGCTATTCAATTTTTAAAATCCTGCCATTGGTCTGGGATTAGCTTTCTGATTTTGAGAAAGATTCAAGTTCTGATGAGAATGAGAGCATCAGTGAACTATTAAAGCAGTCCAACAGTCTATTCACGAGCACACACATTTAATAATTCTCAGCAATCCCATTTCCTCTGTGGTTGTAGTGTACACAATATCTGTCTGATTTTAAAGGACAGAAATAAAATCTCCCTTTAACAAGAACCTTAATGGAACTGAAAAGGTGGTGAGTGTAGAGGCCAAAATAAATAAAAGATGTACAAGTGAAAAAATTAACATTAGGTTTATAGCCAATTGAAACAAAAGTATTTAAAAATATAGAATAAATCTTATTTGCACACATATAACTAAATATCAGCTCTAAGCTATTTATGTAATATCCTGAAGGATAAAACTTCTAAGAAAATTTCTGACTCAGTGTGACAGAAATATCTACAAATCAGAACATGATATAACTTTCTAGGTAAGTGAAGCTGTTAATATAAAAAATAAAACTACCATGAATTTTGTTTTTAGTATTTAATACATCTATAAATTACTAGTATGTTAAGATAGACGTTTTATTCTAGTTTCAAATATAAAACTCATAAAAATATTTAAACATCATGTTTTGAACAGTTTCTCTTAGACTGCCAAATATAGATCCAATTATACCTCTTTTTATTTTCTTGAGCATTATGGCACTCTCCTATTTTTAATAATTCTCTGTGTAACTGCAATCGTTCCATTTCTATAATTCTCAAGAGATCATCACGTGACTGTAACTCACTTTTCACCTCTGAGAGTCCTGCTTCCATGGCCTGAATAAAAACATAAAAGAATTTCAAAGCTCATTTTTGGATACTATAAAATATATTTTAAAATATTTAACAACTATAAATGAGCCTAATTTCAAACAAATTGGTCTTTAGTCCTTTTCTTGCTCTGTCTTACAGAATTCCATTAATTCATTCATTTACTCAACAAATATTAATATTGAGCTTTTGTTATGTGATCCCAGATACAAACACTGAAGAACTTGTGCTCAGTTAGCTCAAATCAGTCTAATGACAGAGAAGAATCAAATTATCACACAAATATGATCACACTGAATGTAAACTTGAAAGAAACATAAGAGTATCAATAAAACGTAATGCATAAAATACAAATTACTATAAATACTTCCCAATTTTAAAAAGATAATCAAGATAACCTCATGGCAAAGCTTGCCAGCAAAAGGAATTTTAAACCATGATTCCACTCTTGCTCAGTGATAGCTACACTTCAGTAACCAGAAATACCAGCAATCTTTGGATCCGGTGTTTTTGTTAATAGGAGAGGCTTGAACAAGGTGTTGGGAAGGATCTAGTTAGGAAAGAGAAGGAATAACAGCAATGGTGTCAGGTTCTCGAAGTGGGTGGGATAATCCTCAAAGCCTAATTGGGACAATTGCCTAAAGCAAAAGGGAGCCCCTCCTCTCTCATTACCAGAAGTTAGGAAGATGGAATGTAGATACCGTTACGCATTTGGACAGAGGGAGATTAAGAGACTGGCTATTGTTCACTTCTATTTTCTTTGTGAAGTAAAAGGCAACATCGTGTGCTGACAGTCTAAAGAGAGGTGGAGGGCATAGGAGTGATTTTTGAGAATGGACAAGATTTGAAATGGTTTATAATGGGAATGGGAGAGTTAGCTCATTGTGGGAGCACAGCAGGATTGCTGGGCAGTGCTGGGACCCATCTGAAGTGTGCCACCATGGCCTGAGCGATCTCCTGCACCAGTGCTGGCTGTTCTCCGGGAGAGAGGAATGGACAAGTCCTTCAATATTGTCCGGACCCTTCCACTCAATTATATAGGGAAACCAGTATTTACTAGGAGTGCCTGACCCATTGCCATTTTTACAGATGAAAAAACTGAGGACCAGACTTGAACCAAAGTTACACAACTCAAATGTGCCAGATTTTGAAACAAAAATCTAGGTCTTTTGCCTCTTAGTCCAATTAGAACATTCCAGGTTCATCCATGCTGTAGTTAATTTCTCTTTGTGGCTGAATAATATTCCATTACAGGGATATAACGGACTTTATTTGTCTGTTCATCAGTTGAGGCGCATTTGGGTCGTTTATACTTCTAAGCTTAATAGTATCAGTAATGCTGCTATGAGAATTAATGTACAAGTTCTTATGTGGACATAGGTTTTCTTATTCATTGTTGTCCAAAAATTCACAAAACCTGGAAGAATAATTGCATATAAAGTATATGTCATCATAATGAGTTCCCAGATATAAATATTTTTTTACCAAAGCCTTAAATTTATGTAACTGTTTTCTAAGCGACAGGAAGGCCTGAGTGGCAGTATGTCAGCCCCTGAAGCTCCTGGCTGACTTGGAAATAAATATAAGAGCAGATTCAAATTGGTGATTCAATAAACAAGGTCTGACAATTAAGTTCACAAACTCATCCTAGGAAAAATGCTACATACCTCAATGCCCAACACCACTATGTCAGCTTTGAAGTCCTCCCTCTGGGAAGCCCTGCACTGATGGCAGTGCCTACTCTGCCCTTCAAAGCAATTTTGGAATTCTTTTCCTGAAATGATCATCATGGCAGGGCACACAAAACCACGCAACAACAATAATGAAATCCACTCAGTAAGACACTGCTACATGTCACACAAACACAGCTGCCGGCCACAGATGAATCAAGGTAATGAAACCTCAGCTGGCTGTTTGTCCAGGGCTGCCAACATAGGTGCATGGTGGCAAGTTTGTGAACTTAATTGTCAGACCTCTTACATGTACTTGTTTGGATAGAGACTTCCTTAGATAAATCCTCTGTTTTGAATAGTGGAGATTTTTCAGCTGAGGTTAAAATATCAAAAATAAAAGACATGCAAAAGAAAAGTTTACTCATTGGACAATTAACTTAGTGTGAATGTGACCTATTACTTTGACCAAGTGAAGAAGGCACTCAGTGGCCCTACATGGCCAGTTTGTCCCCAGGGAGCAATCAAACAGGCAGGGGCAAGTAGACAGTGGCCTGCCTGCGTTTGGAAAGGGCTCCACACACCAGGCCAGTGAAATGTAGTGTCCCCATAAACTAGAGTAGGGTGACCAGACGTCCCGCTTTTGAACAATTTGTCCTGTGTCCCGTGGCATTTTTCAGAAGTCCCATTTTTGGAAAGAATGTACGACTGGGCAGGAGAACAGGGAGGGAATATACAGTTTTCGGCTGCCATGTGGCTATTTTGCCAGAATATGAGTTTTATGTTTGTTAATTTTATAATGTTAAACTGTAATAATAACAAATAATTGTTGAGAAGTGATTATTGAGAACTGCGTATCAAAGTTTGCATTGATGTCAGGCCCTGCCCTGCCCTGTCCCCTGCCCCCCCCTCGCCCCCACCGTCATGTTGTTCCGCTTTACAAATGTTAAAATCTGGTCACCCTAAACTAGAGTGAACTGAAACTCAGTCAAATGTGATAATAATGGAATATATTTTACTTCTACTACATATTAGAAAACAGTATCTATAACAGTGACAATTGGAGGCATCAGTCAGGGGAAGAAAGCTTATTTGTGACCTAGGTACACAGGTGGGAGAATGTATGTTAAAATTCAAACTTTCCATAATACACGTGAACAATAGTGGTTTGACACGTGAAGGAATATGCAAGAGATTTTAATTGTAAATTGACAGCCTTATCTAAGTTGGCTGCAAAAGTACAAGAAAAGTTTGAAGGCTTTGCTGATGTCAATATATTTAGAGCTGTTTTTTGACTTTGAATTCAAGGTTAATAATACTGAATTGACATAACAATTAGTGAATTTATTTAACTGAGATGTAGTTTTGAAATTAGTATGCTTTTGCATGAAAGATGAATAAATTATTTGTCAGTGGGGTGCAAATATTCAGGTACTTGATTCAGTTATTGGAACACTTTCGAGTTTGACTGGAACAACTTACATATGTAAATCTACTTTTTTAAATGGCAAAATTTCATGAAATCTAAATACAGATCAAGTATTTCAGATGAATACTTAGCATCTAAATTGAGATATGTATGTAACCACAAAATACACACCAGATTTTGAAGACTTAATATGAAAACTTATAAAATATCTCAATTTTTTAATATATTTATTGTATGTTGGAATGATAATACACATTTTTTTTCTTTTTTTGAGACAAAGTTTCACTCTGTTCCCTGGGCTAGTGTGCCTTGTTATCAGCCTAGTTCACAACAATCTCAAACTCCCGGTTTCAAGTGATCCTCTTGCCTCAGCCACCCAAGTAGCTGGGACTACAGGTGCCCACCACAATGCCCAGCTAATTTTTCTGTTTTTAGTAGAGACAGGGTCAGACTGGTCTTAAACTCTTGAGCTCAAGTGATCCTCCTGCCTTGGCCTCATAGAATATTCTGGTTAACATTGGTTGAATAAAATATATTACTATTGTAGATTAATCTCACTCATTTCTCTTTACTTCTTTGAATATGGCTCCTAAGAAAAGTTCCCATTATATTTGTGGCCTGCATTATCTTCCTGCTGTACAGTGTTTCTCTAGTACCTTAATAACACATTAACAAGCAAACAAAGAAAGGTTAACTCTTCCAGTACAGATATTTTAAAAATGCTGAATAATCTATTTTTGCCATTAACTTCCAATGGGAAATACTGTACATTTTAAAAAGTCTGAGTATAGTGTAGCACAGCAAAGAAATATGTGCAATGGAATTAACACGTATACTGACAGGTTGCGAAGTTGTAGACAGGCCAGTGAGAAGAAGTGATTCTTGTGACAACTGAGACACATCTGGCATTAAGTGTGCAGTAAACTAAAGAGAATTTTACATACAATACACGTAAATGACAGCATTTCAGATCGAAATGGTTGTCTTTTTGCATTCATGTGCAAGATGAGGAATATTCTGTTGTGACAATTTTGAGCAAAGAGAAGAAAAATTTATTTCCAAATGCATATACTGGTTACAGTATTATTTAACTCTAATTATTCCCATTTAGTAGAATATAAATTTTGTAAAATGTGTTTAAGGCCCATCTGTTTGGTTAAAAATTTGCCTAATGGTTTGAGAGGAGCAGTGATTTTAAACCTTCAAATCAGCTAATAAATATAAATAATTGCTATCTTCTCGTTTAGTATTTATCCTAAAGAACAGAATGAAACATGTGTAATTTCGAAATAGAACAGGGAAAGGGCTAAAAAAGCATTATTTTTTGCATTTTCCTCCTAATGAATGAAAAATACTTAGTGTTTTCCTGAGAATAGAAATCTTATCTTTTAGACATCTTAAAGTTTTGAACAGGGTAGATGTGAGTAGGGATGAAAACTTACCCATTGGCTACACTGAACACTACTCAAGTGATGGGCACTAAAAGCCCGACTTAAGCATTATAAAAGGTATCAGTGTAACAAAAACACCTGCACCCCTCCTTAGTATTTTGCAATTTTTTTTTGCAGTTTTTGGCTGGGGCTGTGTTTGAACCCGCCACCTCCAGCATATGGGGCTGGCGCCTTACTCCTTTGAGCCACAGTGCCACCCCAGTATTTTGAAATTTAAAAATTATATCAGTTGCAAAAAAAATTTTTTTTGAACAAAATTACTTGTGAAAAATCTTTTTATTAGGACTATAAAAGACTTTGTGTAAAACATGCTTTAGAATCATTGAGTTTGTTTTTAACACACGCAATTCTTTTGTAAAATATAAAATGGAGGCCCTTAGTTTAAATTTAATAATGTTTCTAGATGCAAGGATAGCTAAATTATTATTGTTATTATTATTTTTGAGGCAGTCTCACTTTGTCACCCTCAGTAGAGTGCTGTGGCGTCATAGCTCACAGCAACCTCAAACTCCTGGGCTTAAGTGATTCTCTTGCTTCAACCTCCCAAGTAGCTGGGACTACATGCACCTGCCACAACATCAGCTATCTTTAGAGACAAGGTCTCGTTCTGGCTCAGGGTGGTCTCGAACCTGTGAGCTCAGGCAATCCATCCGCCTGGATCACATGCGTGAGCCACCACAGCTGGCTGCTAAAGTATTTTTGAAAGGAACAAAATTTGTAAAAAATATAATTTTGGTAAACCTCCTCATAGAAATCAGTATAAATATCAGTCACATAAAAAGTTATTGTTCACTGTGGAAAACATAATAAGTGAAGTTACAGAATTAATCGTGAAGAATATGAGAGAAAATAAAATTCCAAAATTTAAAGCAAGGTTTCTCAAGCTCAGCTCCACTGACATTTTGGGCTAGGTAATTCTCTGTTTCAGGTGGGGTTGTCTTGGCATCACAGGATGTTTAACAGATTCTCTAGCCTTCACCCACTAGATGCTGGTAGCACTTTTTTCCCTCTTGTCACAACCAAAAATTTATCCAGGGATTGCCAAATGTCACTGGGAGCAAAAGCACCCCAGTAGAGAGCCACCGATTTAAACAGAAGTCATAACAATTAGGCAACTCGTACTCATGTTTTGCAATCTTTAGTATAAAGATCAGTAAAAATATTTCCCAATATATTGACTTTTATGAATAGCTAGGTTTTAATTTTGGTACTGTATTACTTGTTGTCATTATATTGTTATTATGTCATTATGTACATTGATGAATTACTAAGTACATTAATAAACACATGTCTAAAGAAAAATCAAAGTAGATAACATAGACTTTCTTTAGCACTGGCAACCTACAGAGCTTTCTCAGGAGTACATGTAAGTCCCTAGAAGTTTGTAGAAATCTTTGAGGTTGAGAGTGAGAAGGGTCAGGAGGGCAGGTCAATTAAATGATATCAGTAAAGGGCAGTGTGACCTTGGCCAGGAGCTGGTTCGTGTGCTCTCACTTCCTGGCACACCTTCAGACTCCAGGCTGCCTGCACTCTCTTCTTGCCAACAGGAGCCTGTCACTGTGATGAGTATGAAAAGCATGGGACCACAGCATTCTCAAAGTGGGAATGTTAAAACCAACATTTTATTCATGTTTATTTATTTACTAATGTTCTTCAATGTACACTCTTTCTGTATTTGCAATATTTTTTCTTTTAACAAGATTTTCCACCCTATAAAGTATAAACCACAAAGTTCTGAGGAGGGGGAAGTGGAGTTTGTCAAGGAAAGCATGCAGTGGTTCTTAACCTTCCTTATACTGCAATGTATTTTCACTGTTACAAAGGGGTCGTGACCCACAGGTTGAGAACGGCTGCTAGAGAGCAGTCAGTCATGCAGCCAAAAACAGCAGCAGCGAACAGGGACTCCACGCCGCGCCAGACACAGGTGTAACACTAGCCGCTTCTGTTCTCTAAGTGAGCCAAAGACAAAAGCTGAACCTTAGCCTATAAAAGAGGATGATTTTGGACACTGTACGTAGGTTCAAATAGAATTATTGGGGGTATTAAAAGGAACTAATATTGGTAAACCTCACTGAAGGGCAGAACCAAACTTGATAACTAGAACTACTAATGAAACATGTAACTAAACAGAGAAAAATAAGGCTGATCTATCTAGAGAATAGATCTAGAGGGATCAGAGCCAAAAAGACTTAAAGAACAAAGCAGAGAGCTCTTCAGTCTACGCAGATGACTTGAAGCCCAGGGGTGAATTTTTGGGAAGTACACCAAAAAATAATTCACTTATTTATTTAATGTGATTCTGTTGCAGATGCCAGCAGCACCAAGACAGGGGCAAAATACAAGTGCAAGTTGTCTTTGAACAGAAGTCATGACTGGTTGTCCCATCCTCAGGGAGGTAAATGAGCAGCAGCCTCTGAGAGGGAAGAACCCATCAGAGCATGACCCACAGCTCAAACAGCACAGGAGGCCTGAGGGCAACATAAACTCTAGCAACCCCCCCCCCACACACACCCCCTCTAAAGCAGAAGAATAAGAGTTAACCTCATTTATAATATTATGAAGCCAAAGAATGCACCATCAATTCTACTTCTAGACAGTCTCTGAAGTCCTCAGTGTTTAGTGTTTGCAGTTAGCTTTGTTTGCTTACATCTGTATTCTAATTTGTATTAGAATGAGACCCCCCTTCTCAAACACAGCTGCAGTTTGAGTGAGGGGGATGGTACTGTCTCTTAAAAATGCCACTGAACGGAGAACCTGGAGCCTTATTTTCTGTCTCTTCCCAAATATGGGGGAAGAGAAACATAGGATTAGAACAAATGCTGGCAGAGAAAACAGTTAAAGAACTAATTCCATATAAGTATGGTGGGTTAGGGGAATGCGAAGTTGGCCCCCCAGCTAAGAAATGACCCTGGGAGTTTACGTGGTAGCAGATTCTCCTGTGATGGAATAGTGGGGAAGTGGAAGTCTGCCAGGATATAGCAGTGACCTCAAATTGTGTATTTTAGGATAGGGGGACATAGCGGCCAAATATCATGGATAAAATGGCGGAAAGATGCTGAATATTTGAAGGTCAGAGATAAAACCTACAATGGGAGATAAAACCATAAATGTCTCAGGTAACTTGATATTTATGAATAAGAAATACATATTGAGTAAAAAAATTAATAATGACCAATTTTCATGAATCCTATATAAACGTTCCAATTGACTGCAAGAGTAGAAAGTCAAAAAAAAGATTGTTGAGTTAAGAAAAAAAATTATTCCTTAGAAGAACTGTCAATCATTTGCCAATGTGAGAGTTACCTACAATAAATTCTAGGCTACTGTTTGGTAAATGATTATGATAAGGTTACTAGTGATAAATCACCCCCCTACTTCTCACTGAGGTTATAGATTTTTGTATCCTTCATGATTTCCTGTATCTCTAACCCAGAATTCTTAGGAATCAAAGAGGCACAGAGTCAGAGAAGACAGTGGGTAGGGAGGGTGGCGTGTGGCTAAAGGGCCATAGTCTTTAGGCACAGAGGTCTGTAAGTGACTGCGGTGATAATACATTGTTATTACACCACTGCAGAACCAAAGTGCACTCTAGTGGGTCAAGCCCCTGTGGGATTATTGATATTACTCCTCAAGTGAGGAAGTATGAATGAACTTACACACATAATAGAAAACTAGCTTTCTAATCCCTATACCTGCTAAGTCACCATTTATTCAAATCATGGACAGTATTAGTTAGAAAATAAAAATTAAATCTTCACCTGGCACTGTCTTTGGTACATTTTCAGTTCTTGTAAGAGCTTCTGATTTTCATCTTGTAACTTATTCCTGCTTAGTGCTATTTCACTCACAGCTGATTTTAATTTTTCAATAATGAACTCATCTCTTCCACTGGTATCACAAGTGGGTTCTGGTTCACATATCAAACGAGGAATTTCAGAGCTGCCATCTTCTACACATTGTTTTTTACCATTTAGTTGAGTTTGGTAACTTTGTGTCTGTTTCTGAAAAATGTGAAAACTGTAAATTAAATGACAAATATCATACTTAAGCTTATATAAAGTTCAAGAATGATAGAAATGAATTCGTAAAAACATCTTTAAATATGTTACTAGATAATGAAAGTTGGCCCTTAGTAATTCAGTCTCATGTTCATTCTAGAATCTCAATTTCAGATAGCATCAAGATAAAACATATTTGTATGACCTCAGAGCAAAGATGTAAAGTAGGGACGGGCATTAGGAACAGTGCAGTTTTTGCAGTTTCTGCGGTTTTTGGCTGAGGCTGGGTTTGAACCTGCCACCTCCAGCATATGGGGCCAGCGCCCTACTCCTTTGAGCCACAGGTGCTGCCAGGAACAGTGAAGTTTTATTAAGCAAGAAAAAAACTCTAGGAGCTATAAAAAGAGGAAAATAATGAATTCAATTACACAATAGTTGAAAAACATCTCTATGACCAACAATAAATAAACAAAATAAGACATAAACAATTAGATTATAGGGGAAAAGTTGTCAATGAGTAGGTATTAACAGGGCTCATAAATCCTAATGTACAAAAACTTCTACAATTTTTTAATAAGAAAAAAGACAAGACAAAATAAAAATGGGCAAAGTTTATGAATAGGCCAATTCACAGAAAAGGAAATGAAAAGGGTTAAGAAATATATGAAAAGATGCTCAGTCTTACAAGTAGTCAGAGAAAGACAAAGCAAAGCGAGCCATCATAGCCTCGCCAGGCAACTTGCCTGCAGGCAAGCAAATACATGGTATTTAATGATACAACAACAATGAAATTTTTAATAGCACCATGCTTGGAGACATGTAGACTAAATTCACCATTACCGATATTTCTTGCACCTGTGACTGTACTCACTGTTAGACCTACTCCGGTTATGTTATGTTAGTTGGCATTTCTGTCTGTAAACAGATTATATGCTTAATGGCAAAGATACAAGTATTTAATCTCTACTTTCTTTAAATTTAGAGGACAGTATTAGATAACTTACCTGAAATTGATTATACTTCTCAGATAATAATTTTTGTTGAGCATCTAAAGAAACCAGATGAGTCTGATACAATATTTCTTGCTTGTCCCATTCTCTTGACTTTGTTCTAAATTCCTTTCAAAAAGTGAGAAGGGGAACAAACATAAATTAAATAATATTAGTTATTTTAAAGCAAAATGAATAGTGTGTCTTTCATTTGTACATCTTCATTCTGAGGAAAAAAAAGTAAGTTCATTCTTTACCTATTAGGAAAGCAAAATAACAAAAAGTATCAAATCACTCATGTTGGATTAACTGTCTTCTCATTTTTGTTGGGAAATAGGGAATTCATTACTTAATCATTTAAATATGTAGAAAGTCTATCTGATAACAAGTGGTGATTACTAATAAGGAAGTTTCCAACGATGTTTTTGCATCATCCAGTACTTCCATTCTATTTCTTGACCTCTCCTTTCATTCTCTACACTTAGTTCTAAACTTAACCCTCTTGTTTTTTTAGAGGGTGGGTCTTGGTACCTGGATTATTACGGACTGAATGTTTCTGTCACTTACCTGCATACATAAGTTGAAGCATAATCCCCAGTGCAATAGTTTTAGATGGTAGTGTCTTGGAGAGGTAATTGGGTCATGAGGGTGAAGCCCTCATAAATGCGATTAGTGACCTTATCAGAAGAGATATGAGAGTCCTTGCTCTTTTTTTCTTTCTCTCTCCCATGTGATGATACAATGAGCAGACAGCTACAATCTATCTACCAACAGGAGGGCCCTCACCAGAATATGACCACGCTGGCACTGTGAACTTGGGCTTTAAGCCTTCAGAACTATAAGAAAGAAATGTTTACTGTGTAAGTCACCACATCTATGGTATTCTGTTCTAGCACCCTGACCTAAAATAGTGACTTTTTCACTCATTTACACAGGGAGGAAATGATGAAGTAGCTTGAGAAAGCATAATCATTTCTTTCAAGTTTTTGCTCAATATCATAGAAAATGATTATCTATTATAACTTAATAGTATGAGCCAAAGGAAACTTCACTGCATTTCAATTTTGCCTAGGGATGGCCACCGTATCTTATCTTTCTGTCCAGGCTTTAAGAAACCTAAGGGTAAGAGCTGTTTATTACTTCTGTACTGTTCACAGTGTCTGTCTGACAAAGTGCCAAGTACCACTTACATTCCATGAATGTACAAACAAAAGTACAGTATATTACTAACATTTCCTAGAATTTAAATATTTCTCACTAAATTTTGCAAAGAAAACAACATGGTTGGAAGTAAGCCCTATAGCTACCATGTGTATATAGAAACATGATCATATATTATTGCATACAGGAAAATGGCATGAATGTATTGTTGTTTTCAATCATCAATTCAGTAATATTTATGGGACACATCACCAGGGACTATAGAGAGAAAATTTGGAAATATTTTATAATTTAAAAAGTTTACCTTGAAAAAGTCAAGGTGTATATAGTAAATTAGGGAAATGTATACACACACAAACAGTTTCACAGTATGTTAAGTACAATAATGCCGACACACAAAAGCCATGCAGAGCATGTTGTTAAATGCTCTTAAAATGCTTATTTAAAGAGTGAAATGTACGTTTTGCTTAAAATGAGAACATGACATTTTGTATTTTCTACACAGAACTGATTTTAAAGAACAGTTGAGGAAATTTACCTTTTATAAATTCCTAATACTTAAAACAATTAGTGAAGGAAGAGCATAAATAAGGAAGCTTTTGTAGTAATTAAAGGTGACCTGATAGTATCAAGATTGGAGAAATGGGTAGACTTGCATTAGATAACAGTGCATCATGATAAGTAGACTATATTTACTAGAATAAATAGAGATGGCTATTTAAAATTGTTGACCTTGATTCAGACATTCAAAAATACGAAAATCAGGTACATGAAAACATGGTCTTCAGTAATAATGACACATTTACAAAACTAGGCTTTAGTAGAAAATAGGTAGCATTTTCAAATCAACGCAATCCATAATAAAAATATTTTGTTTACTTTTCATTTAGAAAGGAGTCTTTGGAGTTAAAAGTCAAAATCTGGGCAAAGTTGACATAAGCAGTTCATATCTTTTATATAATACAAATATTTAGCATCACCTACCGAATAACCGCAAATAATCTTGAAAATAAATATTCCCCAGCTTGCTTTAGAGGCAGAAGCACTAATCTCAACTCCTTATAAATGCCACAACAGGTATAAATAAGGTCAAGAATAGCTAGAAATGTGTGTCACATATCAGCAGGTGCTTATAACAGTACTGGCTTCCTTGGTATTACAGATGTACAGTTTTCAAGGCTAGCAAGTCAGAATAATATATGCAGAAATATGAAACCGTGCAGAGACCCAGAGAGCTTCACTGGAGTTTTTATAACAACTGGAGATGTCAGCTTAGGTTGCATGAGATCTGTAGGCTTGCCTAGACCTCCATACTAAGTTTTCCTTGGCTGGAAAAGCTTTTAAGCCTTTAAGGTTGAGAGTGGGTTAGAGTCATTAAAATCAGAGTGTAGAGTGATAGCTACATTATTAGATTTTTTAAAGCCCTCTGCTAAATATTGGGAGATGGTCCTTAGTGATTGCTATATGTCAAGGACCTTTACCTAATAGGACGGTTTAACATTTTATTATAAAGATTTTCATATGTACATAAAAGTAGAGAATAAAACAAACCCCCATGAACTCTTTACCCAGTTTAACAACTGAGTTCTTTTAACAAGCTACTTTTAGGACTATGATCTCAGACTTTATTTTTTTCTGCTCTTAAAGATATTTTAGTGCAGAACGACTTATTGAAGAGTAAGATGATGAAGTATGAAACAGGGCAATGACAAGTAGGTAGGAGGAAAAAGGAGATGAGAGGCATTAACAAGGAGAAAGGGCAGATCCAGACTGGAGTGAAGAGAAAGGAACAGATGAAAGATTCCAAAGAGTACTCTATCCTGGGGGACTGGGAGGTGCAGGACCCTTACCTATCAATGAGTAGAAGACACTGAAATCATTAGCTGGGGGTTAAGGTTCAAAAGAATGAAAGAGATTAAATGGGATAACATAAAAATTAACTTTGGGTCAGTTAAAATAATAACTACCTAGTACAGGGGAACCCAGCTAACGTTGGGTAATAAGAATCTCTATTAGAATCTGTATGCGGTTACATGACTGGTAAGTTGAATGCTCAAGAGTATAGGGAAGAAAAATCGCTGGCTTGTTTTATCCAAGGTTGGAAAGTTAAGAGGATAAGAACAAACGCATCCATGACATAACAAACATTTTAGAGACGGAAATTTTACAAGTGTAAGTTCTGGGTGATAAGGGACAACTTAATTAGAGTGGTGCTATGTCTTTAAAGAAAAAAGTCTGAAACTTCAAGCCCCCTTCTAAAAACTGCTCTGAGGCTCCACTGGGATTTAAGTACCTAATAGCTAAATGGCCATTAAAAGATCTATTAGATATTCACTTTAACTGACCCCAGGAGTGTCCTTCAATTTCACTCACCAGCTGCAGTTTCTTTTAACTTTTATGGTTTTTTTTGTTTGTTTGTTTGCTTTTGGCTCTCCCAAAATGCTGCTATATAAAAAAAAGACATATAAATCAAAATGATGCTTTAATTCACTAAGTGCCTAAATCCCTGAGGTGCACTAAGAAGATATATTCGATGGGAAGTGATTTGCAATAGTGCTTTTATCACAGCTGGACCTGCCACTGCCTTCACTACAGACGAAGAGCATACAACAATAGCAATCAATCCTTAACACAGACGCAGAAACTAAGAAAATATATCTCACCTCTAATTTCTGGTTCAAATTGCTCAGTTCAAAGGCTGTTTCTTCTTTGAGGTGTGGTAATTCTTTTCGTCGAACTTTGTTTTGTTTTATCTGGTGTAATCTCAGTTTTTCAAAGCTATTTGTTAGTTTGGAAAACTGTAAATAACAGAAAATGATGCTAACATTTTACTACTACTGGTTATTTCTAACTTGGTTTCTCAATATTTCTTGTGTATCTCTTTGAAAATTTAAGTCATGATTAGAAAGTGCAGCAGAGCTTAAATGTTCTGATTAGTGAAGACAGAACCAGTTATTAAAGCTGAATTACTGAAGCTGAACACAATTCAACTTTGATGTAAACTTGAGACTTCATTAACTGCACAGTTAAACAATAATTCACTTGATAAATCGTTTGTTCAGTTTTATTTAAACCATATGTAGTGAAACTCACAATTTAAAAAAACCAAGTCTTTTCTCTACTTTTATTTAGTGCCATCTTGTGTTGACAATTTTAATTTCAGTAACTTGATCTAGGAAATAACCAGTTTATACTTTATTTAAGAAAATAGAATACATATTTAATTTCAAAGAAGAAAGCAACACAAACCACTTATTCGTGTGGATATAAGTTTAAATAAATGTAAATACCAAAATTGATTTTTTTACTGATAATTCTTTTTGCAACTGTGTATTTTTATATTGTTCTACCTACAAATAATAGATTAAAAGTAGCATAGTGTATCAACATCTGTGAGAAAGTTTTTATACTCACAAAGCCATTTTTAACCTTTTATGGTTTGCACTTTTTACTCTGAAATAGTTCTAAGTTCACAGGAAGTTGTAAAGTTATTACAGAGAGGTCCCAGGTCCCTTTTCGCCAGTTTCCCTTCAGTATTTACATATTACTGAGCTGTAACACATCAAACCCAGGACACTGAAATGGGATCAATACATGTGTATAGTTCTATGCCATCTTCTCACGCGTGCAGATTTATGTGTCCACAACCACAATCAGGATACAGAACTATTCCATCTCCACAAAGATCTACCTTATGCTGTCCCTTTAGTCACTCTGGCCCCTCACCCCCACCCTCTAACCTCTGGCAATTTTTTTTTTCATCTGTACAATTTTGTCATTTGGAGAATATTATAAAATGGAATCATACAGTAGATGATCTTTTAAGATTGGCTGTTTTTTACTCAGGTTAATGCCCCTGAGATCCATGGAATCAATAGCTGATTCTTTTTTAGTGCTGAGTAGTATTCCATAGTATGAATGTACCACAGTTTGTTTAACCATATCGGGACATTTTGATTGTTTCTAGTTTCTGGCTATTACAAATAAAACTAGGAACAACTATGTCTACTGTTTTTGATATGTACTACTAAAGTAGCCACTTCTGCTTTTTTTTCTCATGTTATTGATATATAATTCACCTGAACAATATTCCATAGCATGAATATATCACATCTTGTTTATCCATTCATCAACTGATGGATAGTTGGGTTGTTTCCTTTTGGATAATATGAATAATGCTACTTTTAACACTTGCATAAAAGTTTTTGTGTGGATATATTTCACCAAGGAGTGAAATTACTAGGTCCCCTGGTAACTCTAAATTTAACATTTTGAGGAAAAATCAAACTGTCTTTCAAAACAGATGTATCATTTTTCATTCCCATTCACAATGCATAGGATCCCCATTTCTCCATATCCCCACCAACACTTGTTATTTTGTATTATTTTGATTATGGCCATCCTAATGGGAGTGAAGTCAGATCTTACTGTGGTCTTGATTTGCATTTCCCTAATGACTTAAACATTTTTTTTCATGTGTTTATTGGCCATTTTTATTTCTTCTTTAGAGATGTGCCTATTCAACTCTTTGTCCATTTTAAAATTTGGTAATTTCCCTTTTATTGTTGATTAGTAAGTTATTTACATATTCTAGATACTAGTCCCTTATCGAATGTGTGATTTTGTATCTTTCTGTGGATTGTGTTTTCACTTAACTAATAGTGTCCTTTGAAGCATAAAAGAGGCTCGGTGCCTGTGGCTCAACCGGCTAAGACGCCAGCCACATACACCTAAGGTGGCGGGTTCGAATCCCCAGCCCGGGCCCACCAAACAATAATGACGGCTGCAACCAAAAAATAGCCAGGCGTTGTAGTGGGCGCCTGTGGTCCCAGCTACTTGGGAGGCGGAGGCAGGAGACTCGCTTGAGCCCAGGAGTTGGAGGTTGCTGTGAGCTGTGATGCCATGGCACTCTACCCAGGGGGTGAAAAAGGGAGGCTCTGCCTCAAAAAAAAAAAAAAAAGAAAGAAGCATAAGAGAGTGTTCAATTTTGATGATGTCAAATTTATCTAATTTTTTGTTGTTTATACTTTTGGTGTCATGTCTAAGAAACCATTGCATAATCTAAGGAGATGAAGATTTGCTCCTATGTTTTCTTCTAAGCTTTTACATTTAGATCTTTGATCCATTTTGAGCTCATTGTTATTTATGGTTTTAGATAGGGGTCCAACCCAACCCTTTTGCATGTGGATATCCAGTTAGGTTCTGGGTTGGCAGTTCTGTTCCTTTAGCATTTGTTATAGAGACTCATCTTTCTCCATGGAATTATATTGGCACCACTTCTGCTTTCTGTTGATTAATATTTGCATGGTATATTTCTTTCCATCTCTTCACTTTCAACTTGCCTGCACAGTTATATTTGAAGTGAATGCTTTTTGTTTACTTTTTTTTTTTGATACAGAGAGTCTTGTTCTGTCACCTTGTCTAAACTACAGTGGCGTCACTGTAACTCACTACAACCTTAAACTCCTGAGCTCAAGTGATCCTCTTGTCTCAGCCTCCAGAGTCATTGGGACTATAGCCATGCACCACCACACCTGGCTAATTTCTCCATTTTTTGTTTAATTGGTGTATTTGGACCATTTCCATTTAATGCAATTATTGATATGTCTGGGCTTACACTTGACTTTGTTTCCTGTTTGTTCTAGTTTTAGGTTTCTGTTTTCATTTTCTTGTCATCTTGTGGGTTACATAAACTTTTTTAAGGATTCATTTTATTTACAGTTTTTTATTTTAGTGTTTCTCTTTGTATGGCATTTTTGTTGGTTGCCCTAGGTTTACACTTTATTTATATAATTTATCACAGTCTATTGGTGTTTGACATTTTGCTAGTTCTAGTATAGAACATTACTTTACCCTGCCCTGCAATTTATAACACAATTGTCTTATATATGTTGAGAGTCATATCAGACAATTTTTGCTATCAAAAAATTTAGAAAATAGAAAAATCTATTACTCCTACCCATTTTTTTTACTCCCTCCAGTATTTTTTTCTTTTTTTCTGATGTCTTAAGGTTCCTTCTTTATCATTTCTTTTTTGTTAGGAGAACTTCCTTTAGTCATTTTTGCAGGGTAGCTCTACTGGTGACAAATACTCTTAGTTTTCCTTCATTTGAGAAAGTTTTGATCTCTCCATTCCTAAAGAATATTTTTACTGGACATAGAATTCTGGTTTGGCAGTTCTGTTCCTTTAGCACTTGAAATATGTTACCCCACTTTCTTCTTGCCTTCATGGTTTCTAATAAAAAATCCACTGTTAACTGGATTGGTTTTCCCCTAAATAAAAGGTGTTAAGATCTTTCTTGCTGCTAGTAAGATTTTTCTTTGTCTTGGTTTTTAGAATTTTGACTATCCTGTGTCTTAGCATAGATTTTAAAAAAATTATTTATTCTGTTTGAAGTTCACTCAGCTTTTCAAATTTGTAAATGTATTATTTTCTGCCAAGTTCTGGAACTTTTCAGCCATTATATTTTGGATATTTTTTCATTCTCCCCCTCTTTCTCTTTTCCTTCTAGATCTCTGATGACATGAGTTTTAATCTTTTATTATCACACTACATGTTTCTGAGGTTCATTTTCTTTTAGTCTTTGTACTCAGACTTGGAAATTTCCATTGTACTACCTTCGAGTTCATGGATTCTCTTCCTCGCCCTCTCCATTCTTTTCTTGAGCCCATACATGAATTTTTAAATTTGATGATTACATTTTTCAGTTATAAAATTTCTAATTGGTTCTTTTTATTTCTTGGCAAAAATTTTCTAATTTTTCATTTATTTCGAGCATGTTTGTAATTATTTATTGGAACATTTTTATAAAATGCTTTAAAATCCTTGTCATAGATAATTCAAACATCTATGTTATCTTGGCATTGGCATCTGTTGATTGCTCTTTTTTTTTTTCTTTTGAGACGGAGTCTCACTATGTCGCCCTGGGTAGAGTGCTGTAGCATCATAGCAACCTCAAACTCCTAGGCTTAAGCAATTCTCTTGCCTTAGCCTCCTAAGTAGCTGGGATTACAAGTGCCCACCACAACACCCGACTACTTTTTTGTTGTTGTCATTGTTGTTTAGTAGGCCTGGGCTGGGTTCAAACCCATCAGCCCTGGTGTATGTGGCTGGAGCCCTAACCACTTGGCTACAGGTAACAAACCTGTTGATTACTTTCTTATTCAAATTGAGATCTTCCTGGTTCTTTTTATGAGTGATTTTGATTTTCTGTTAAAGCTGGAAAATTTTGTGTATTGTTATGAGATTCTAGGTTTTTATTTAAATATTGTGTTTTAGCAGTCCTCTTCTTGACAATTTTCTGACATAGAAAATGGAAAGCCACCTCATTACTGCTAGGTGGCAGTGAGAGTCCAAGTTTTAACTCGGCCTCAGTGGGACTAGGAGAGTGCTCCTTATTACTGCTGATAAAAATGGGAGTTCAGGATCCTCACTAGTTAAAACTGATACCACTTTGGTTGGAGGGACATAAGTGCCTTATAACTGCTCCTCACATGGCCTTCAGTGATAATGTAGTGGGGGTGGGAAAATCTGCCACCACTAAGTACTACTACTGACTCCTCTGGTATCACCCCAGAGAGGAAAGGGAGGGGTGCCTCACTACCACCAGGTAGGTGTAGAAGTCCAGGCTCTCCACATGGTCTCCACTGACACCATGGGTTGGGGAGGGTCTTGTTAATGTCTAGAATGATGAAAGTCTTGACTGTCCACTCACTCTTCTCTGATACTATCCAAGAAGGGGTTTCTGGGCTACCTTGTTATAGCTTGATGAAGGTGGAAATCTAGGCTTTCACTCAGCCTTTGCAGGTGGGTTGGGGCTGTAGGTTTTTCCTGTGGTATGTGGCTGGCTGGCTGCTTCCTGGTCTTTTGGCTGAAGACAGCAGGCTTTCCTTGGTTTTCCTTGTGTTTGTTTGTTTGCACCCATTGGGTTTCTGGTTTCTCTATTCCCTAGTCTGGGATATATAAGACAAACAGAAATCCCAGGGAATTTACTACTGTGTCATTTTTTGGGTGCCAAGGTCCTAAGCTGAACTGTCTCTTTTCTTCACTTCTCAGAGTCTTCTTATGTTGTTTTATAAACAATGTCAGGGAGTTTTATTTAAGCTGTACTTAGCAGGAGGACAGGGGAAAGTATATCTACTTCAGAAGCAGATGCTATGTGCATGTATAAATATATGCATTTAATATTATAGTTTTATAACGGCTAGAAGGAACATAAAATAGCCCCTTTTAAAAGAAGGAAGCAGTGACAAGAGGGTCTCTACCTAACAAATTCAAATATTATGATTTGGTTGTTCGTATCCTCACATTAACCTGAAATTAAAAAATATAATAAAAAACACAGAAAAATTAAAAAAAAGAGAAGGAAGCAATTTCTACAGGGAAGCTTTGACAGAGTTAAGTTATTCAAGGCAGAGTTTTGGTAAAGTGTATCTATAAAATGTTTTAGGAAAATGAAAAAATAAATAAACCAAGAATTTCAAAGAAGGAAGCAATAGAGTGAGCAATCAGCAACAAAAGCATTTTTGTCACAAGATACCATTTTGGGTTATAAAAATGACACACTACTAGCTTTTATGCAAATCAAGTCAAGTGCATAGTACTTTTTTCCTCCTCTTTTTCTCTCCTTTCTTCGTTCCTTCTTTTCCACTTTCTTTCCCTGTCTTCCTTTCTTTTAACCATAGAAAATAGAGAAGCAGGAAACTGTAAACAGGAGGTTATTCTCTCAACAATAATGTAATATTTCCAAAGCGTATTCCATGAAACCCTTATTTACAGGAGTACTAGTAGGCTTTAGCTTAAAAAATAAAAAAGGTCAAATATCTTTAGAAAATGACGGATTGAAAAGGTTAAATGGGTTTGTTTAATGCACGCCCTCTCTCAGCCAGTAACATGCTAATGTGTGCTGTGAATCTCCAGAAGGGGAGGAAGAGTCTTAACTTGGTCAACATTAACTTAACTTCAATAGCATTTCCTGAACTCTCAGTGTTAGTGTTCCACAGAACAAAGTTTTGTGAAACCACCATCAAGATATTAAATATTAGGCTGGGCTCACACCTGTAATCCTAGGACTCTAGGAGGCTGAGGTGGGTGGATTCTCTGACTTTCAGAGTTTGAGACCAGCCTGATCAAAAGCAAGACCCTGTCTCTACTAAAAATAGAAAAATTATCCGGCCCTTGTAGTGGACGCCTATAGTCCCAACTACATGGAAGATGAGGCAAGGGGTTCACTTGAGCCCGAGAGTCAGAGATTACTGTGAGCTAGGACACCATGGCACTCTATTCAGAAAATAGATATTAAATATTATTTTTTTTTGCTTAGCATTGAAAACTAGTCATAAGCCAAATATTAAAAGAGAGCTGCAAAGCATCAAATGGCAAGGATTCATACAGTAAATGACTATATGGCCCACGACTTTATAAGGTCTTGCTATGTTGCCCAGTCTAGTTTCAAACTCCTGGGCTCATGTGATCCTCCTGCCTCAGAATCCTAAGTAGCTAAGAGTATAGGTGCAAGCCACCTTACCCACTTTTTGACAGAAGACTGGGGGTGGGGGAGGACCAAACAGAAATGAAGGATTGGGTAAACAGTGACTGGATTAAAGATAATTTAGAGATAGCACTTAACTTGTATCTAGATTTCTATGTTTTTAAAAATTATTCCAGATTGTGATCTCTTTGTTTACACTGAATAATTATAATGATTTAATACTTATGTTTTTGTTTTATAGCGTCATCTTTATAGAAAATGCAAGGTTGATTAATTGCTAGATGCCTAAAAAAACATATATTATTTCATAACTCAAGCTACCTTTTAGTGGCAGTTAAGTGAATTGCAGGCAAAATGTCTGGGTAGACTAAGAGCTAGTCCTGTACCTATCTGTTAAGTGGCATCCGGTATTTCATATTCCAATCTTAACAGTTGAATTCTCTCCCTAAAAATGTACTTAAAGAGAATAAATAACCACTTCGGACTCCTTTAACTAGATTATCATATATGAAATCTTCTCACTCCCAAAAATATTGATTGCAAAGTAAAATTTCCTAATCAAACTATGTTTCCTATTGATTCATTTACAAGCTTAAACAAAGGTATAGTACCTGCCAGATCTGAGATGCTCAGATGACTGACTACTACCCTAAGTGCTATCGGTGGTAAGGAAGATAAGACTTTTTTCACTTGCCAGCTCAGTGTGAAAACATAGGGATAAGTAAGAAAGAAGTCAGTATCCCTGTCATTACATGCACAAAGCACTATCATTTAAGAAACAGCCTGACCAGTAATAAAATAACAAAGACTAGTTGTATTCTTTCAATTATTTATTTCATAATATCAAATTTTCTGTATTTTTGTTTCATTTCATTTTATTCCATTTCATTTTTGAGACAGAGTCTCACTCTGTCACCTTGGCTATAGTGCAGCAGCATCATCATAGCTTATTGCAGCCTCAAACTCCTATGCACTCCTATTGTCTTGGCCTCCCCAGTAGCTGGGACTACAGGTGTGTGCTATCATGCCTAGCTAATATTTTCTATTTTTAGTAGAGATGGGGTCTTGCTTTTGCTCAGGCTGGTCTTGAGCTCTGGGCCTCAAGTGATCCTTCCATCTTGGCTTCCAGAGTGCTAGGATTACAGGCATGAGCCATCAAACCCTGCCTACATTTCTGTATTTTAAATTTCTATAGTATAAAGGGCACCTTTATTAGATAGTAATGACCACAAAAGATAATTTTATTTTTTTGTTGTCGTTCACATAACTAATTATCATTCAATTAATCAAAAAGTCTCTTATTCATCTAGTACCGTGGTAAACAGTTTAAAGGGTACAGAAGGTATACAGAGCTCACAATCTGGTAAAAGAGACAAAATCAACACATATAAAACAATGAAATGTCCAAACACAAGCTTAAAGTATAAGAATTTTTCCTTATATTAAACATAATTAGTTTTAATAAAATTAACATAATTTTATAGGTAAAAATGTATTGAAATTATTATATTCAACTTTAAGTTTTCTTACTTGAGCTTTTAGGGTTTGTAGTTGTCCTTCATAATTCTGAGTCATTGCTAAATTGCACTTTTCCAGACTGTCCAATTTCTGTCGAAGTAAACCCACCTGTATGAAGAATAAAATTTAATTTTGCTTTTTCTAAATTTTGCCTGACAAATCAGAAAATGTACAAAAGAGAAGCACAATTCTAATAAAATCGCTGAAACTGCTATACCAAGCCAAGAATAAATATTTGTACTGCAGGTCTTAAAATAGCTATTAAAAATTAAATTCACAAAAAACAAACTTTGCTAGCGCTATGCAACAAGGTACACATTAGGACAGTATGAATGCTTAACAAAAGAGCCTTATCACCATCACATTTTAAATTCAGGTTTAGACTTGACTTTGCATTATCTTTTTGGAAGGCTGTGTCATGGTTACTCAGGCAAAATTTCAACAAACATAATTCAGTTTTTCTTCATTTCTTTTTTCTTCTTTTTTTTTCTTGATTGCCTTTAAGAGGATCACCATTTTAGTGGTATTGTGGAATAACTATTACATTTTTACAAGAACTAACATATTAAAAGAAAATAAAGTGTCAGAAAACAGCAGTTTCTAAGGATTTTGCTTACATAATTTATCAGACATGGCACTTGTTTACATGTGCCTTTTTAAGCAAACAAGGCACTTGTTTACACGTTTATGTCATTTCAGGAATGGAAGTGAGAGCACAGGCCATTGCACATGGCAGGCCTGATGAAGGGAGACTTGATGCCGAGGCTGAGTCATATGCCAGACGATCTCGTCATTCACTAGGCCCAAACTAAGTTCCACCGAGAAGCCAATACAGGTAGAAAATAGTTGACGAACAAGTTAACCAATGACATTTTAGTATACGATTAATAAGCATTTCTCTTAAACATTTCTTTTCTCAAGAACAAACTTCACAGACACAAAGTCCACACTGGATAAAGCATGTGGTCTTCTGAACTGCTCACCGGCCTGAGCGCTCTCGGACGCTCTTCTGCAGGCACCAGCTTGGGAGTGAGCAGCCCCACAGGGACCAAGCAAACTCAGGGCCCCAGCTAGCCACACACACCCGTCACCAAACTCTTTTCTTCTTCGTCCTACAATCAGTTCTTGACATCTTACTTCTCCCAGGAAATATTTTTTTAAAAAATCAGAAGAAAAAAATTCTCCTGAATTCTGGTTTTTTTTTTTATCTTGTCCAAAGACACAGTTTTGTGACAACTTTTCTTTTGTTTTTTCTATAGCAGCAAGAGCATCTATATCTTTGCTTGCTGATAATATTTATTTTGCATATATATTAAATGTTTGTTTACTTTCATAAATTTCATTGGCACAACATATCTGTCCTCATCAACAAATATCTATGGATTTAGGCTTACCCACAGATTGTCACTTATTTGATACAATACCTTTAGCATACTACTAGATAACACAATTCCAAGCAATAAAATGCTCTTGCTGTTGACTGATAAAAAATGCATATAATAGAAAACATATTCTGATAGAATAAATACTATTTACAAAAGCCTGATAAATTGACAATTTATTAACACATGTATTCAGTACCTCTTGACCTTTCTGATCCAAACAATTTTGTGCATTTGCCAACTCTTGATCTCGAAGATCCAATCGTGTCTCCAAAGCCCGCATCTTTCTTTCCCAATCCAATTTTTTGTTGCTTACCATGATGTCAATTTGTTCCATTAATTCTTGAAGCTCAGCCTCACAAGGAGAAGTTCTGGCAATTGTAGAAAAATAAAGTACAATTCAAAAGAGTGAAATGTGAGGGCAAGAAAAATTATTACAGTGCTGTGCATAGCTTGATGATTATTTGCACAAGTTGCTCAATTATTTGAACAAGAAGTTCAAAACCTAGAGGTTAATTTTTAAAATGAAAGAAGTTATTTTCAGGCTCAGTGCCTGTGGCTCAAGCGGCTAAGGCACCCGCCACATACACCTGAGCTGACGGGTCTGAATCTAGCCCGGGCTGGCCAAACAACAATGATGGCTGCAACCAAAAAACAGCCGGGCGTTGTGGCAGGTGCCTGTAGTCCCAGCTACTTGGGAGGCAGAGACAAGAGACTAGCTTGAGCCCAGGAGTTTGAGGTTGCTGTGAGCTATGATGCCACGGCACTCTGCCCAGGGTGACAGTTTGAGGCTCTGTTTCAAAAAAAAAAAGAAGTTATTTTCAGAGCAAACAGGGTATATTTAAAAAGTAACTTTTTTTTTTAGAGTGGGCTAGTTCTAAGGAATATGCTGATTGTAAAAAAAGGTAAGACTTAGCTCAAGGATCAATGCTTTTACATCAGCTTATACATATACCTGTGTCTACTGTAACTTGGGGAGGCCTGACAGCAGCAAATTGGCACAGCAGTCATACCATTCAGGGATAGAAAAGCAAGCCTGGGCTAGGTAGGGCCAGATTCAAGGTGCCAACTGGACGCTCCTCAAGAAGAGGAACTTGGCGTGATCTGGCTTGTGTCTGTTTGGAAAAAATTTGACCAGGCAGGTGTGGGCAGGATAGTTTAAGTCTTTAGACAGTGGAGATACTATCAGTTATATAGCTGGCAATATCTCGGGACTAGGAAGGTCAACTGAGTTTGAAACAAGACCCTTGGTAACAGCTCAGATCACAGGACTGAAAGCTGGTGAGAAGATACATTGTTACTAGCACCCTGGGAGGCTGAGGCCGGTGGATGGCCTGAGCTCAGGAGTTCAAGACTAGTCTGAGGCAGAGCGAGACCTCATCTCTAAAAATAGCTGGGCATTGTGGTGGGCGCCTGTAGTCCCAGCTGCTCAGTAGGCTGAGGCAAGAGAATCACTTAAGAGTTTGAGGTTGCTGTGAGCTATGACATGATGGCACTCTACCGGGGGTGACAAAGTGAGACTCTGTCTCAAAAAAAAAAAAGACAGATTGCTAGGTGCTCCCAGCACAGGCTCTCTTTCAAAGAAGCTGAATATTTCCCTGGGAGATAAGTCCAGTCCTTCAGACTGGGTAAGGTGAATATAAAGCCTCAGACTTCAGCCTAAAAGAACATACAAATGTCCAGATTAGAAAAGCAGGCTCGGTGCCTGTAGCTCAGTGGGAGGGGTCTGGCCACATACACCGAGGGTGGTGGATGTGAACTCAGCCCGGGCCTGCTAAACAACGACAACTGCAACAAAAAAATAGACAGGTGTTGTGGCAGGCGCCTAAAGTCCCAGCTATTTGGGAGGCTGGGGCAAGAGATCACTTAAGCCCAAGAGTTTGAGGTTGCTGTGAGCTGTGATGTTACAGCACTTTACTGAGGGTGACACAGTGACACTCTGTCTCAAAAACAAAAAAGAACAGATTAGAGAAGCAAGTTATTTCAGCATCCATTTCAATTATGGTGATGATCCTTCTAATATATTTGTGTAGCTAGGAGGAGGGCAAGAGGGAGTAGCAGGTGCAAAATGATAACATTTCCTCCATTTAGTTTCACCAAATTGGAACTGTAGGGCTACATAAGGATCATTTAGCATTCTGAAAAAGGACGGAGGCCCAGAGAGGCCCAAGGTCACATAGCTAATTAATGCAAGAGCCAGTACTAGATCCTAGGCAGCTGCTACGCATTTTTATGTGCCTTCCTGTAAATACACAGCAAAAGGCCTGGTATTGTGAGTAAGACTGTGCTTGAAAAATATAGTACAGAATAACTCCATTAACATAGGGTTAGAAATAGGTATTAAAATCCAATTCAGAATTTCCACAATCACCTTCTAAAATACCCAGAGTCAACTAAAATTCTTCAAAATTACTTTTAAATTTTTATTACTATGGGTACACAATAGTTGTACGTATGTATGCATGTTTGTATGTATATAAGGTTCACACGGGGATTTGATGTGTAATGGTCAACTCAGGGTAACTGGGGTATCCAAGCATTTATCATTTCTTCAGGTTAAGAACATTCTAATTCTATTCTTTAGTTATTTAGAACAACAAATTATCATTAACTATAGTCATCCTACTGTGCTACCAAATACTAGCCTTTATTCATTCTATTTAACTGTCTTTTTATACTTATTAATCCTTCTTACTTTATCCCCTCCTCCCCACTATCATTCCCAGCTTCTGGTTATTCACTAGTTTTGACATCAGAAAGGTTTTAAATACAAAGTGTTATTCCGGAGTCTTCTGCTACCATTTCCAGGATAAGTCCCAAAGGCTCTCAATTTTTACTTAAAACCAAAACAATCCAAGAAAAGAAATATACTAATTCCTCTATAAATAATTTGACTGAATTTTAATCAACAGTTTTCCCTTTTCATTTCAACACATATCATCCTTTTCTGTAAATACATTTTGTCTGTTCTACTGCTGTGAAGAAAGGACTGTTTATCAGCGTAAGCTTTAGAAAAAATGTGATGTACCAGTCTTGTTCATCACATTCTCACCAGAGTCTCACGTAGTGTCCCAGCACATAGTATATGCCTAATAATTCTTTGAAAAATGACAGAGTTCTTCTTATTGCTGTCTCCTTGGCATGTAGGGGTGCATCATGCTAATGCAATTAAAATACACATTTACGCTTTTAATCCTAGTACTTTGGGAGGCTGAGAGAGAGGATTGCTTAGAGCCACAAGTTTGAGACTAGCCTAGTGATATCTTGCCTCTACGAGGAATAATGATAATTTTAAAAGTTGTCCAGGTGCAGTGGTGCATGCTTGTAGTCCTCCCTACTCAGGAGAGTAAGGCTGGAGAATCGCTTGAGCCCAGAAGTTCCAGGCTGCAGTGAGCTGTGATCATGCCACTGCACTCTAGCCTGGGTCAAAAAGAGAGGCCCTGTCTAAAAAAAAGGGATACACACTGGCAAAACAGACAAGACACACACACACACATACACAGTGGGGCAATTAAGTTCAATAACTCATCCTATAAAAAGGGCGCCACACCTCACTGTGAGCATCAGTACAGTCACTTCACAGCATTTTCCTTGGCCATCTAGTGACTGCAGTGATATTCAGCAGCGAGGTATGTAGCCCTTTCTCTAGGATGAGTTTGCTAACTTAGTTGTCAGACCTTGTATGCCTAACACAGAGTGTGGGCATAACATAATCTACTCAATCAATATTGTTAAATGGATAATTGATTTATTTCCTGGTGATGACTATACTATGTATAAGTTAGAATATTAAATAAACACTCAGGATAGTGAGAGTCAAGTCATATAGTCCAATTACTCATTTGCATTCCTTCTACAAATATTTCCTAAGAGAATCATCTATCACGTGCCACTGATCAGATGCAGCAGGTCTAGGCTAGAGCTCAGGATTCTGCATCAGTAACAAAGATACCAAGTGATTCTGATGTAGGCCAAAGTTTATGCACTATTCTGCAATATTCCTGCAAAAGGTCATCCAGCCTAGGTCTGAATTCTTCCTTTAACAGGTAACCATTGTCTGAGATTGTATCTAGATAGCAATGAGTTCTAGAAAGTTATTTTTTTTATAACTGAAGAACTTTTTCACCCACTGGTCCTAATTTGATCCATTGAGGCTATTCAGAACAAATGTGTTTGCAAACACAGTAGATCTTAAAGCAATTGAATATAGTCACCAATATGCCAAATACCTCCAGTTTTCTCTTGTCAGTGTTCAGTACTGAGACGGAATAGACAGACCACAGCTAACCCTATGTTAGCAGACACTGACCTGCAACTTCAGTAGCACCAGTCCTGACAGCCAGACCACAAAGTTGGCAGCAATTGTCTCAAGATGGTCAGAACTGACTGGTAGCTTCCCAAACGTTTGTCTCCATTTCCAACTCAGAATCAATTGGAAAAAGCAAATATGCTCCCAAATCAGTCACACAGGATGCCCTGCTTCTAGGTATCCTGACTCTGGTTTCTACACACCAACAGCTTCCAATTACAGCAGACCTGAAATCTTCCCCTTTGCTTTTTCATTATAAAAGTTTCCCACTACCTTGCCTGCCTTTGAGTCTCTGCCAAAAGGAAATGACAGTGTGTAACCCTTTGTTATAGCAAGCGCTGAATAAATAGCCTTAAGTTGTTCTCATTTGGGTAGTCTTTTTTAATATTTTCAAAAATATTGGCTCGGCGCCTGTGGCTCAAGTGGCTAAGGCGCCAGCCACATACACCTAAGGTGGCGGGTTCAAATCCCCAGCCCGGGCCCGCCAAACAACAATGATGGCTGCAACCAAAAAAAAAATGGCCGGGTGTTGTGGCGGGCGCCTGTAGTCCCAGCTACTTGGGAGGCTGAGGCAGGAGACTCGCTTGAGCCCAGAGGTTGGAGGTTGCTGTGAGCTGTGAAACCACAGCACTCTACCCAGGGGGATAGCTTGAGGCTCTGTCTCAAAAAAAAAAAAAAATATTATTACATTTATTTCTATTGCCTCTAAAGAGGTTTTTTCCCTACACTACTTTATACTCAGTACCTGGTATACTGCCTGAGAAATACTAGATATTTAATGAATATCAAATGCCTTGAATGAATGAAAAAAATGAATAAATACAGTAACCTTTATAATCCTAGCCATTCTCCTTTGACCGGTTATTTATATATTTCATCCTTAAAGGGCACCATTAGAACTTTAACATAATACCACAGCTATGTCCTAATCAGCTCAGAGTGAGTCTTTCACATCCTTTGTTTTAAGTGCCATATACTTTTATTAAACCAGATGACGATCTCATTAGCTGCACTGGAGAGAGGGAAGAGTAAAGCAGTGATACATTGTTTCAAGGTGAGTTT